GTTCCATTTAACAACACGAGCACAATGAAAAAGTCCACCCTTATTTGCACTCTCGAATGTACATTTGTAATCTTCAGTGGGTTCATTTCCAGTAGTTACATTTTAAGTGCTCCCACTTTCCAGAAGGTTTGTGACATTATTGCTTTTAAACAATGGTGAGTGTGTGGGCTGTGTCATCATTCAGCTGTGGGTTATAAGTGTAGGAAGAGAGAGAGAACATACTGACAGTGATTATAATACTACAGTAGGTGAAAGATAGCACAAAATGATATGTCTTGAGGCTGTATTGCATTATAGTCTACTGAGGTTTCTGACAGTGGAGAAATTACTTCCTCTGCTTCAGTGGGGTTTTTCTTCTGTGTGATTGTTGAACATCTGCGCAGAATATAAATCTTAACAAAAGCCTTTTCTCTTTGGAATAATAACCAAAGAGATGATTTTGATAGATCAATCTCAATTGCAACTGCTGGAAACACCCTTATGCTTGTACATTTGGATTACTTCATTTTTTGTTTTCAGACGAGACTGAAAAGTGCCACAAAGGGAGAATTTATAAAGAACTTTATGTTTTAGCTCTTTACTCCTGAACCAGAATGCATTTCATTTTTCCTAGAATTTATTATTCTACACATCTATTTCTACCCAAACAGACTCCAAATGGTATTTGGCTGAATATTGAAAAGGTTATTTATTTTGGGGTTGTTTTGTTTTGTTTTTTGTATTTTCCTGTGGGTAAATAGCTAAATTTACAAAACTGACACATCTCTGTGGACATGTCAGCATCATGCAATATTTAAAATTTAGCATTGTGTGGCGCTACAGCAACATGATTCATCTAAAATCACTGTTTGACTCAATATTTTGCAGGCAGGAGTTACAGAAAAAATTTCTCAGAAAAATATCAAAAACAGAGTAAATTATCAAAATAAAAGTAATATTAGACGTTTGTACAGAGGTTTGTGCTCTCTGGTTGCTTTTTATAAATAAATTGATTGTTGATTAGAAAGAGGTAGATGTCTGAATTCATCTGAGACCTTGTTTTAATGAAGGGCTGCATAAATAAACCTTCCTGCTTCAATGCTATTAACAGACTAAAGTCTTCTCCGAAATGAATTATCCAATCTAAATAATCCTTTTGACACTGTGATGAGCACGAGGTCGTTAAGATTCACTGTGAGACTGTTAATCAGCTGCCAGTCTCTGCAGCCTCCCACACAGCCTGCAGGACCTCGAGCGCTGCTGTGGAGGAAACCCATCAACACCACGTACGCTGGAAGTCAGACAGAGTTGGACGTTCGGAGAGAAATTCGGTCTATAATGATGTTATACTAATGCTAAATGCGTGACATTCATTGTTTTTGCATTAATTTGAATGGCCTGGATAATTTATAGCATATTTAATAGTTGTTAACAACATTTTAGACAAATTATGTAACCTTTTAATGGATAAAACAGCTAAAAAAAAACAATGCAAAACCTTTTTCCTACCGTAAATACCAGTGCACACATGTAGATCCCAGTAAAAAAAAGCTAAAACTAATTGTTTTCATTATACTAGATTTTAGGGTTGCTGCAGCCCCCTCAGCATCCCTGCTTCCAGCGCCATCTGAAAGGCAATCAATCCAGACTGCAGCCTTTAGGCCTCCATACACACACACACACGCACGCACGCACGCACGCACACACGCACACACACACACACACACACACACACACACACACACACACACACAGAAGAGGATCAACAAGAACATCCCTCCCAACTCTATTAAATTATATTTGTTGTTACATCTGTTGCTACATCTGCTTTCAGCCAGCTTCACCCTGAGCTCTGCTTTGGAGCGTTGGTCAGTTTACTCTATTATCTAGTGTTTGTGTTGAGCGACGCTGTATTTATTCAGGTGTTTTACTTAAGAAGAAACAGAGAAAGTGTGCATGCCGGGAAGCCTCAAGCTATCCTCGCTTGTGTCCTTTATTCAACAGTGTGTTCAGCAGAACAGTGATTTTCAAACAAACAAATAGCTCTACGCTGGTAAACCAAGGTTAAAGTTGATGGAAAGTACAAAACATGTGCATCTACAAGGTTTCCCCACACTAGTTCTAAAGTACAACGGCAAAACATTTCCACAACTTTATACTAAATGTTATGACTACTATGCTACTGAGGTGCAACAGTGACACAACTAACAGATCTCTCATGAGCTACTGTTGGGTCATGACTCAGACTTTCAAAATAAAGGCAATAAGGTGTTTCGTTTATAGAGTCCCAACAATGTAAGTCAGCCAGCAGAGATCAAAAGAAAATGATCACAGAGAGAGAATTATCACTCAACTCTTCAGCTCATCTCTGAGGAGCATTTTAATGTCTTTCAGCTCATTGTTTTGGTTCTCGCCTGCAGCGATATTGCTTTGGTTCAGTCTTCCTTCTCTAGTCAGTGTCATTTCCAGCCACAGCAGGCAGCTGTTCCTAGTGAAAAAAACCCTCTGGGAAAGGTCCATTTTCCCTTTGACCAGTTTTTTGGCTTTTTCCTGCCTGCACAATGTCTCAGTTTTGTTTCTGACTGCCTACTTGTTACTGACCTGTATCCTATTAAGTGAATCCTGCTTTTACAGCCTGTCTGTGGTGTACAACTGCTATACGTAGAATATCAGAATCAGAATCAGAATCAGAATCAGAAATACTTTAACAATCCCAGGGGGAAATTACTTAATATTAAATGCTAGATATGATATTTAGTTTATGCTTAAAGCAGATCAAATGTCTGTGTCTCTTCACTGTTGTAGAAACCAACTCACTTCCCCCCGTTACTCTAAATACTATGAATACATACAGTATCAAACAGCCATTTCCAGCTCTGTGTTTACAGCTTGCCATATGTTTCCAGTTTGTGTGCGTTTTTCTGACATGCTGAGAGCCGTATTGGAGACCACCCTGAGATGATGTAATTACCCAAGACAGGATGTGCAGTAGAGGGGATCGTAGCCCGGGGGACTCTCCCTCGGTGCAGTAATGTAATCACCTGACTGAAGTCATCAGAGTGAGCTCTAACTGCACTTGCACTGTCTGGGAAGCTTATAGAATCATCCTGTTGAAATTCATTAAATTTATTGTTAGAAATGATTCCTCCTATTCCCCATGTTTGACAAAGAAACAACAGTATGTGCTCACGTTTTTTTGTATTTGTTAATAACTAAAATTCAGTTATTTTTTCCAGTTAAATCTTAGCTGAATGTCAAAGGTCATCTGAGTTGATTGGGGGGTTAGTGTGACAACGCCCATTCTTTAGGGGCAGTGGTTCCCAACCTTTTTCCTTAAGGAACCCCTTTTCTATCATTTAAATGAGTAAATGATGACCCCTCACTGAGTGTCTTGTTATATAGATATTTATATTATTATATTTTATATTAAAAACTGTACAATGAACCCAAATAGTGAACTCAGTAACTGCAAGAAGTTTGTGTAAAAAGTGAGATTTGGATTAATTTTGAGCAGATTATTTTCTGCTTAGGGAATTTATGTTTTATGTATAATGTATTTTTTAAACTTGTTTAACAATCATACAGACTTAATAGGTTTCTATTTTTGACTAATTCAAAGTTTTCTTGCAATTTACTTTACATTTACTTTTCTTCACAGAAGTGAACCAAATGCAGAGATATAGACCAACTGTCTTTGTTTTTAAGATTTCCTACACGCCTTTAAGTCAAGAAGGCCTTGCAAGCCCCCACAAAGTTTTGGCGACCCCTAGTGGGGGTCCTGACCCCAAGGTTGGGAACCACTGCTTTAGGGCATAAGAGAGGTGGGGAACTGCAGGAGCATTAAGATCCTTCCTCAACTTAGTGTTGACCTCACTTTAGCAGATACTGTCAGCTAGAAACTCTGGTCCTTAGACCCTACTGAGATTTCTTTGCTGTCTTCTTTTTTGTTTGACTTTTTGAAGGCGATTTTCAGCATTTTGACATTTTTAAGCCCTTTCCACTAGGTTGCCTGCATCAGGGAAGATTTTAGTGCCATTTGTTCAAGAGTTTTGCTTCTCTAACAATTACCTGCTGTCTTCAGGCTTTTACTTTTTATTTTTATTGAAAGCTATTTCTACCTAAACAGACTCAAATTAAATCTAGACACTAAATCTGGCAGAGAAGGTATTTGGCTGAACATAGAAGAAGTTATTTATTTTGGGGTTGTTGGGTTGTTGTTTTTTGTTTTTTTCTGTGTGTAGATGCTAAATAGCTAAAATGATAAAACTGACACGTCTCTTGACATTGTTTGACTCAATATTTCCAGAAAGGATTTCCAGGACAGGATCCTTAATACCCATTTCTTTATTATTGAAGTATAAGAATGTATTTGTGAGATTTGTTTCTCCAAGTAGATAAGTTTTGTATTATACTGGTATTAGCTGGTTCTCTGTGGATCTGTGGAGTCGGGCTTACCACAACAAAATAACTGATTTATTTTTCTTTTGAAAATATCCATTTGGCATTGTAGTTTATTTTGATGGCAGTGTTCTTCAAACTTTGATTGTATTCAAGCAGGCCTTGAATATTTAATCACGGGTCCAATAAACAATAGAAGAACCGAATAACCGAATGAAAGAAATGTTATGTACAAAAACATTATATAACTTAAAAAAAAAAAACAACCCACAGATGTTCAAACTCCATGTCAGTATTTGATGATCTTGGAATAAGGGCATCATGAGTTTCAATTTATTTGTGAAGATAAGCCCTGGCTGTAGTGTATAAGATTTAAATCTGTGTATAGTGACTGATGGTTGAACTTTTAAAGAGACTTTAAACGAGATTTCTGGTTTACAGAAGAAAAAATACCAGTTGAGCTCCAGATTATATGAACACAAACTTTATATCAGTGACTGATAGGTGTTTTAAAAAGGACGACAGTGTAACAGCTTAGTTATAATGATTCGTTTAACTTTTGCTGTAAATCTGCCCCGTGACTGTGTGGTTTGAGTAACCAGGGGCCACCAGGGGCCACCAGGGGCCCTCCTGACTCACACAGGCAGGCTGTGCCTTTTAGGTGACGGGGGACTGTGTAACATGAGCCGGGGTGAAAACTGTGCGCTGGATCCGGCTCCCAGTGCAGATGCTGCTCGCCAAGGAGAAAGAGAGGAGGTGCATGATGGATCCCGTCCCACTGCTGCTCATCATAGCCGCATCTTTGCCACTGTGCCCGGCGGTCTACACCGGGCCGCTCCAACCGGAGATCTCCAATGGCACCTTCCACCACTTCTTTGTCCCGGACGGGGATTACGATGAGACTGAGGACCCGGAGGAGTGCCAGATGCTGTTTAAATTCTCGGATGTGTATCCATGTGGGGCCTCTGAAGAGAGGGACTCGGTGGTGCGGGACGACTTCATCATCACCAAGCTGCAGGCGGAGGACGCGGCGCGGCTGCTGGAGGGCATCGGCCGGACTGTGGCGCACGACCTGGACGGAGAGGACAGCTACGGCAAGTTCCTCCAGCGGGAGCTCTCCCAGATCGCCGAGGCTTTCTCAAACGTGGACAAGTCTCTTCTGGAGCTGGAGGTGAAGTTTAAACAAAGTCAAGAGACGGAGCTGAGAGAGGAGCAGCAGCTGAACGGCTACGTGATGAAGCAAGTGAGTGACATCAGGGACGCAATGAGGGGGACCACGGACATCTCTGTGGGACTTAAAGATAAACAGGAGCTGCTGTCTCTCATCATCCGCAGTCATGGCACCAGACTGAGCCGCCTGAAGACAGAGTATCTTAATGTTGGCTCATAGTGGGGTTGTGTGTGAGTGTGTGTGTGTGTGTGTGTGTGTGTGTGTGTGGAGAGAGAGAGAGAGAGAGAGAGAGAGAGAGAGAGAGAGAGAGTGGGGACCCTCCAGTTCATAAACAACTGGAAAGTTCATTGTGGCTTATGGATATAGCTACTTCCTAAGTGAATATCTCTGACCTTTGGTTATCCCCCATTCCTTGGACATGTGTCATTAAAGGGAGCTCTAACAAAAACATCCACACATTCCTCTGAGTCAGGAGGGAAAAAGGAAATGTGGACAGAAAATATGCCTGCATGGAGCCCTCTGTGCCACCTCTGAGGAGAGTATGAAAATAAAAGCCCTCCAAGTGGATTTATCGGCCTTTTAATCCATAAAATATCAGCATTTTTGTCTGTATGGTTTAAATTATGTTGTTTATACAGTTGTAGGTTATTACTGAGCAAATAAATGCTTAATATTCATCACATATCTTAATTTTCCCTTTTATTTTTTAGTAAGATAACGATTGTTTCAACAAAAGTTTTCTGCTGCATACTTTACGCATTAGTCCTGAGACGTACAGTACAGTGGTGTAAAAAGCCATCTCCATCCTTTGAAGCTTGAGGTTTCCATAAACAGAGAAAGACCTTTGAAATCTGAACGTTTGATTTTCCTCCTCTGTCATGTCTTTACGTCACCATGTTTGTTGTTGGCACTACAAGTGGCAGACTTGACTGTCCCGTCAAGTGGCCGTGGTTAATTGGCGTCTGAAGTCTGTCACTGCCTCCCACTTGCATCTGGAAGCTATCTACTCAAGTATGAAATATGTTTGTCCGAAGGCAGCGACTGTCGACATTATCTACTATTTTGTTTGTCACGATCTATAAAATTTGTGGTTGATATAAAATGTTTTTGTGTTGAAATTCTGAGTCATTCCAGACGATGTCATTTCACTAAAATACACTTATACACTTAACTTGTTTAAATCTCTAAACACTTATTTGCACTTTTGCACTGCAGTGTCGACATACAACATTTCATTTCAGAGACACTGTTTATGGGAGGAAGATTTTTTTAAATTCCTGACAGACATTAACTCTACAAACTAATCTACTGTCAGGCTGTTTTAATTTGCCGTGCCTTGAATTTAATATTTTGAATGCTTGGTAGCAACCTGCATTTTCTATCTTTAACTACCATTTAAAATGTTCTTGTTCCAGCCAACGTCTGCAACAACCACAAAATAACTGCCATAAGCGTGCCCCCCCCTTTTGTTTTTTTCCAGAGATAATGTCTTTGCAGATGTGAGGGAGCCAGATGGGCTGCCATGGGCGCAACTGGGTGTGATTTCCTCTGTCTGGTTTTCCTCATAGTCCGGCTTCCCCTGAGGGACCCCTTTTTAAAAACAGCTCTCTGTAGCTCAGCTCAGAGCGGGCCAACCCCGTCAAAAAACCCAGACAGCAGGAGCTCCATGTGGCGAGAAACCCTATATGTCTGTATGGCTCTTAATTTTCAGGGGCACTGCACAGGGCTCACAGGATTTGATTAAAAGATTTGGTTAAAATTTCCGCTGTGTAAGTGAAGGTAGAGCAGGTCACGAAAACCTCTCATAAGCAACACAGCCGTCCGACTTAATTTGTCTTTTTTGGCTCAAATCATTAATTCCACCTATGGAAAATATATTTTTTTGTAGACTGGTTTCTGGTCCCTGACGTTTGGAGGGTGTTAGAAGAATGTTTTCCCCTCACTGACATATTGTAAGGACATACAAAGAAAGGTCAGGAATGCAGAGCAGAGTTGACCTCAGAGCACACTGATCCCTCTCTGTGCAGAGCACAAAGCCCCAAAACCACAGGCCTCTGTAGTGTTATTATTAGAAAGATGAGAGCTATTTGAATACTACAACTGCTCCTACCGTTACTATCATCACTGCAATGAATACTCACTGTATTAAAACTGTATTTTACAACTACTGCTACTAGTTTACCATCCTTCAAGCGACATCTGCCACTAAATGTTTTTCTGTCGTGCTTGTTTAAGACAAAAGCTGGTCATTCAGAATAGTGCTGCCTCTCATGGTCCTCATCAGCAGGGCAACACATGGCAACTGAGCTTTTTATCAAATGCATCTTGGTGGACCGACTCCATGACAACTGAGAAAACTCCCACAGAAAGTCCTTTATGACATGTGATTGAAAGCTCTTGAAAAAATCTAACCTTGAGTTAAGATTATTTTGCCAAGCTGCTCTTTCAAAGGCCATGAACGAACATTTTCACTCAAGAATTAATTTAGATCCTTATACAAATATTTCAGCATACTAGCTCCAGTCTAATAGTTACACAGTGGCGGAAACATACTGTACTGTACATATTTTACTGAAGTAAAAGTAGGAATAACAAAGTGAAAGCTCTGCATTCAACATTTTACTTAAAGGTTGCAGGTTGCAACTAACTGAACGGCACTGGACTGAGAACAGGCTGTGAAGTGTGTAAGAGAAACTACAGTGGCCGCAAAAAACGTGAAAGGTCCTATCTACAGCCAGTGTTTGGTTTGTCCATTCTGGGCTACTGTAGAAACATTGCGGTTGAACATGGCGGACTCAGTGGAAGGCGACCCGCTGCATCTGTCGATAGAAATGGCTCATTCTAAGTAAACAAAAACACATTGATTCCTATATTCAGGTGATCATACACTAATAAAATATATTTATATATATATATATATATATATATATATATATTCAGTTTCTGCCAATAGATCCTCCTAAATGTTACACAGTGGACCTTTAATATAACTGGGAAATAATGGTGGTACTGTTGGGTCTCTGTAAATGTTATAAGGAGTACGGTCTAGACCTGCTCTATTTGAAAAGTGTCCTGAGATAACTTCTGTTATGAATTGGCGCTATACAAATAAAATTGAATTGAATTGAATTGAATTGAATTGAATTTAATTTAATTTAATTTAATTAATGTACAAACATCACTCTAATGTTGCTGCTGCAAAGGTGAAGCTAATTTCATATCATTATTTCACCATTTTGTATATAATATATGTATCTATAATAATACATCATAATTGATTAGTTGATTATATTTTGCATTAATAATTTGAATCATAAAACTAATAACTTAAGTTAGTTGTGTAGAAGAATAAAATAGCAAATATTTTACTTACTCATGTAAAGTCTCATGTTTTACTGTAGTCACTTTCCACCACTGCTCAGACACCCTACATGTATAAACACTGCACTCACGTTGGTTTTTGAAGCTCTGAACATTTTTACTCATCTACATTTCAGTTGTAAATATGTACTTTTTAGTCCACTACATTTATCTGACAGCTGTAGTAAGACGTCACTTTGCATAGTGAGGATTTCCATGCCAAACACTGACCGAGCTCACTGTTGACTATTAGGCTTTAAATTAGCCAGGGGAACCTGGAGTAATTTGACCACCTAGTGTACAATATTAAATTCCTTTTTAATGCTGTGGGCACATACAGGACACGTAGGATTTGCTCCTCATTAAACACACATTGCAGATGATTTGTGTTGAGAGTTCAATACAACAACAATGTAACACTGCAACAGTAACTATTTAATGAGCTTTTGTAAGCACTGTAAATAAATTTTACTGCACATGCTTACTTTTGTTTATATGTAATGGATTATTCCAGGGTGGTATTCATAATTTACTTCCTCCCCCTCTGTAGTTTATACAAGTCATGAGCCGTAAACCAGAGTGGATTATTGCTGCACTATAACAAGAATAAACTGTTCAGATCATTTTACGGTAAGGTTTTCTTTCAGCGTTTACAATATACAGCCTATAATGTTTTATATATCACGACTTTATAATTACTTGTGAAAACACCGTCTCCAGTGGCCGATAAGGTTTAACCCAACAACAGGGATTTCTTTCAAGGCTGTGGCTGAACATAATAACTCTGTGAAGATAATAACTAACTTGAGCAACACAGTACTAAAGATGAGATGCTGAGGAGCAGAGAAACCTCAGGAAGTGAGTGAAGCCATCAATTCAATCGGATGTCAGAGAGATTTAATTTCTCATAAAAGTTGTGGGAAAGTAATTACAGCTCACAGTGTCTGGTATGCATGTTGTCAATGGAGACAAACCTTTTAACAGTCATCAATCATAAAGTGTAGATTTGTGCTGCTGTCAGAATAAAGTATGTGAGTGAAGAGTTTTGTGTTCTTTATGGATCATTTATGTTTATCAGGTTTAGTTTTAATTTTTACTGTAAAGCACACCAGACAGTTACTTCACTTTTTCTGTTATTTGGATTTCTGGTTTTATTTGTGTCAGTCTTGGTCACTGATGTCGGCTTTGGTCGTCGACATTTTCACATTTAAGAGTTCGTAAGTGGTTGAATAAAACAGACTCCTTGTAGCAGAACTATAAACAGCTGCTGTTTTATAATTAATGCTGTAAAAGTTTTGACTCCATTAGCAGGCCTGCTGACACAGCAGTGAACTCTTGTCATAATGCAAAGGGGGAAAATGACCACAAACGTTTATATGATGCTGACTCAGTGTGTTACACAGGCAAAAATAAATAAAAATAATAAAGTTTTGCATGGCTGTTTTATTTTTCAAAAATATTTTGATGGGTGTAAGACCTCAAGAACAACAAAACATTTCCCTCAAACACAGTTTGGCCTTAATGCTCATATTTTTCCTTGAACAAACACAAATGCATCTGCATACATACAATTCAAAAAGTACATGTACATATCTTGTTTTTGAATGAGTACATAATGATACACAGTTGCCCTTTGAAATGTGACAGTACACATCCATAGTTTGTTCTTCAATACAGATTTCAAAGTTGTGCTATTGATCTTCTGCCAGTGTGTCTTTTTTTTTTTTTCTTCTCAAACTAGCAGATTTTACATGAAGAAAATTTGTATAATTATTCTCCTCCCGAAGAGCAAGCAATAACACTGAACAGTTCGTTCATAAAGAGGGACAGAAAAAAGCACCAGAGGAACTGAAATCGTCTTCAGTCAAATGTCAACCTCTTTCATTTTCATGTGAGCTAGAGAGCCGGTGTGCTTTCTCTGTGCCAAGCTGTGTGAAGGCTCTCTCTCTCTGCTCTGAGTCCCTGGGTGAAACTGTCTCTGGAACAGGGCTCGTCACTGTTTCAGGATGAGACAGGTGTCTTTTAGATGTGCGGCGGCCTGTCACACGCAGCCGTTCTCCTGCCTGGGCTTGTGCACCACAGGGGTGTGTGGAGGGTAGAGGGAAGGAGCGAGTGTACACAGGAAACCAGCCAGCAATGTGAGGCCCAGTCCACCCCACGCACAAAACATGGACCAGCCATAACCGTGACTGATGTCCTCTGGTATCCCAAACATGTATCGAGGGTAGCGGGACAGTTCAAAGTTGATCCCAGCCACGCATGTGCAAAGGGAGATTATGCAGCATGTCCCTGCCAGAGAGGAAGAAAAAAAAAATAGTCAGAAAGCCATTTCCATCTCCTCTGATGCATCATTTCACCACCCTCTCATTGACAAAGACCCCACTGCCCCTCTGTGGTGATGCAGGGTAGTGCTCTTTATGTAAAGTACATCTTACCTCCCATGAGGAAAAGAAGTCCAGCGACATACTGCATCAGATCATGCTCCTTACAGCAGCCTAGCACGCCTATGGTCCAGCCGAACAGGATGATGGATATGGCCATGCCAATGAAACTGGCAGTCATCCGCTGGAGGTCTGAGCAGCACCAGAGAGAAGTGACAGTGTTTGTCTGCCAAGTTTCTCCACATTAATTCATCAGATTATGACAAAAAATAAATTTAATTAAATTAAAACTCACGGAGCGCGTGCCACTCATCCTGCCTTATTGTCTTCGTCAGATTGATTGGCAGGTTTCTGGGCAGCACTGATGATGAGTAGTAGTATTTTATTGGAGTGCAGCGCGGAACCAATCCTGTGGATGTAAACAACGCAAAGAGGATGTCACATAAGCACTGAGATCAGATGAAGAGGATATCACAAGGCTCTCTGCTGCCACCCACCAACACCCCCCCCAAAGAAAGAAGCATCCAACCCCCTTCCGCCCACCACCCACCCATCCACCCACACCATTGTGGAGTAGCTTATTGTACGCATCCCGAGGCTTCTGTTACTACAGCTTGCCCCTTTGTGCTGGAGAATAACACAGCACGTCGATTGCATTGTAACTGTACTCTGCGTTATACTGCGTAGGCCTTGAGGGTCTCTGCGCAGCATCAGCACCTTGGATAGCGTATCCGCGCACAAAGTATTCTTCCACACACACACACACACACACACACACACACACACACACACACACACAAATGTCCAAAACAAACACATTAGGCTATATAGGACACAATATGAGCCCTAAAAAAAACCCAAACCTTTAAAGATCAAATCCTCCGTCTCCAAGTCAAATCCCTCCCGGTGGCACTTTCTCCACAGTCCGGTGATGGTGGAGTTGTACTGCCGACTGCAGAGGGACTCCATGGCCGGGGCAGGAGGCAAGAAGTGCCGCTTAGCCCGCAGCAGCATTTCGCCGCTGACACTGGAGCCCCTCCTCTCCACATTTTTCTCCTTTGGCAACATGCGAAGTGGAAGGTTGTTGTTGGAGATGTAGATATAACCAGGGTCGTTTCTTTTGTTTGAATAATTCTTGCAGCGTTCCCGGTGCCTCCTCGCGTCCGTCTCGTACCAGTTGTCAGTGCTGATGGCCACCGCTATCAGTCCCAACGCGCAAAATGCCAAAAAGAGACCCGCCACGGTTAAAGTCCTCATAGCAGCCATGTTCCATGCGTATCTCTCCTCGGTGCAGTGATGGATCCACGGGACAGCAGGACTCCGCTCCTGGCTGCTGCTGATGCTGATGCTGCTGCTGCTGCTGCTGTCAGTACTGGAGGTGGAGAGAAAATACAGCAATACGTGGAAATCTGAAACGCAGATAAATCCCCAAAGCCCTCATTTTCTTTAGATTTCTCAACCACTGCCGAAAAGGAGCCAAATTTCGAAGCGGAGGATAAATAAATTTGGGCCTCGATGAGCTATTTTGGTTGTCTCCTCTATGCCTCTGAACTCAGTCTAGCCTAGATACTGGTCAGTCCCACGTTTCTTTCCAGCAGATGGAGACAGAGCAAATATTTGAAAGCACAACGAGCCCTCAGGCCTGCACTTGCTGATCATGGGCAGAAGTGATAGAAAAAGATGGCCAAAGTTTGATGCGTAGAGGAAGTGCCTCACGTTTTCATACAGTCTCCTGTCTCACCTCGGCTGCTGTTGTCTAAAAGTGTTCAGTTGTGGATAGAGGACCTCATTTTGTGTGTCTGGTGTACAGGAAGCACTCTTTCATCACACCCAACATGGTGCCTCTGGTAACTGTCCAAACAAATCAAAACATATAGTGGGATAAAGCTTGTGAGTTTTTTGTACTTTTTAGAGAGAAAGTCATAAAAGTGTAAAAGTTTTATATTTTTAAAAATGTGAAAAGGTAGTTGTTTAGCCACAAACAACATCAAAGATAATTCAGATGATAGTTTTTATCTGTCAAGCAGGATCGATGGACAGATGTGTCTCTGTGTATCTGGGTTTAATTCTATACTTTTTGGGGGAAAAAATATTACAACACAAACAAGTTTCAGAGACATTGTCATGTTTTCACTGGTTTCATTCTCTTGGTCAATACTTCCTCAATTCAAACCATAATGCCAAACTAAAAGAGGAACAAGTCCGGTTCCAAACTTCGCTTTTGGTTTTGGCTCCTGTGTTCAGTAACTCTTCAAAAAATTCCTACATGATTAAATCTCACTGGGGCTTTGTTGTGATTGACAGTAAGAAAACACGTATGCTTCCCTGCACAGCAAGTGTAGAGAGGCCTGATTTGTCTACTTAATTATGAAGTGTACAATTAAATAAGAATGTCAAACATGATTATAGTTAATGTGGCTCTAAGATCACTGCACTTAAACTGACGAGGGGGGAAGTTGAAGCACACAAAGGCATGGCATTGAATATGTGTGATAACAAATAATTCCTATTTTAACAGTATATACTATATTTAGATGTCCTCTAAAAAAAAAAAAAGTCAAAATACATGTTTTTGCATGATTTTCTCTGAACCATAACAAACATATTTGGAATAACTATAGATAAAGTTGAATTACTTATAACCCACTCTCAGAAAAAAGAGGAATCATGATTTACTGTGCAATTCTATCTAAATGTGATTGGCTGTACATACTCTCACACTCGGCCATCAGGAACTAGAGGATCACTTGAATTTGACAATTGGATGATATGAACGTAGACTCTATAGGGTCCAGCTTATTTCTCACTTTCAGTTCCTATTTATCTGGTGAAGTCAGAGCTCAGCGACGTTGCGTGTTTGTCTGTGAAGCAACAAGAAAAAGTTAACGTTCATCACAAGCTTCAAGGACCAAGATTCTCATGCTGCCTTGTTTACATGATGGACGGATATGTCATATCATCTGTAAGTGTTTTATTGTCTCATCATCCTTGACCTTTTTCAGAACAGATAAGGAATCTATAGTCTTTGATTATACTTTGTGACACCGAGAGGATGTTTGCTACTGCTACTGTATAGTCTCTGTGTTTCTCAAAGTAATTCTAGTGAGAAAGGTGGGATTTATTGATTAATGTGTATATCTGAGAAGAAGAGGAAGACAGATACTTTCTGAGTTTTGTTTGTGTTTTATAAGGACGTGTGTGAGCTGGTCTGGTCTGTTACTTTATTCTATTCGTTTTCCTGTCTTTATGTTTCATTCCAAGAAATATAAATGCAGTTAATTGAATCAACTCAATGGTCTTATCTGACTTTATTTTGGAAAAACAAAGAGACTCAAACTTTTGCTTTCTCTGTGATAAAAGGCCTCAGAAGAAATCATTCCAAATGAACCTGGGGAGTATCGACCACCCGCAGAGCTGTACCCCTACCTCACTAACGTGGGGGAGATTTATGAGGGTGAGAAGTGTGTATTTAACAGTTGAAAAGAGCACTAATCACTACAGGTTGCCTATTGCCTTATACCTTTTGTCCCTTTTCAGACCATAGATGGGTTTTCCACTCTGAGCGCGTCCAGCCGACGGACTTTGAAAATTCTCCAGTGAATCATCTCACAGAGCTTCAATCTGTGTCTCCTCAACAACTGATACAACCCTACCGCTACAGCAGCGAGTCTTTGCCCCTTCACCTGGATCCACCACTCGGGCCTCTCTCTGTGTCACCACAAGTAAGTTAGTGAGTAGAAATCAGTGACAGTTGACGAAAAGTGTGAAAAGACATACTGTCTACATGTAGGGTTTGAAATATTGACACGCAAGCATACTGATGAGGATATGTTTAGTACGATACACACATAGCAAAAACAAAACCACCATCCTAAAGCAGGAAATTGCTCCCCTGATTTAATGTGAGGTCACTTTTAAATGTGATCTTACTATTAGTGTGCAGCAGTAATGATTTACACTCATTTACAAGCTACATTATGGGATTCATGTGAGTCATATTACTCACTATATTTCCCCTGAGTGAAGATCAGAAGCTAAAGCAGGATACTCACACAGACAAACTATAGTTTTGTTTATTTTTCTACTAATTTTTTGGTAGTTTGGTATTCAGTGTTTACTTCCCCCATTTTTAAGTGAAAAGGATGGCAAATTATAATGTTAAACAGGGGTGCCACTAATGATTATTCACTTCTCACCACTGATTAATCTGTTGTTTATTTTCTTGATTAACTGTTAATGTTCATAAAAATTTTCCAGATCTCAAGCTGACGCATTCAAACTGCCTAAAACCCAAAAATATTCAGTTTACTATCATATAAGATAAAGAGAGTCAGCAATGATTCACATTTAATGAGCTGGAATCAATTAATACCATTGTCGATTCTGTCAATCAACTAATCATTTCAGCTCTATTGTTAATATTCATAAATGTGTGGATATAGTTCGTGCTCAGAATCAATACTAGGTCAAACAAAAAGAGTCCTTTGAACCAAATCTGCTGCTGCCACGATCATAACAACAAAATATATTTTCAGGAATTACTTAATCATAATGGATTTATATCATTTGAATTCTGAAATAAATAAATAAATGCAATTTAATCTCCACCGATAAAGCACATGATGTCGACAGTCAGGGGTATTTTCACAGAAATGTCAAATGCACCACGTGGTCTTGCTGAGCATTCAATTCTATTTTGGCAGCGTTACTTCCTCTTTTAGTACAATGACAGCGTTTAAACTAAAATGTCAGGCAGTGCAAAAGTTGCAAAACAAACTGCATGCAACTCTATCGCTCCTTTGTGCAAACCTGAACTAAGACTTGCTTTAAATTTCTCTTAAAGATCCCATATTACACTTCATCCTTGTGCTACCAGTACCAACCTCCTGCCTCGCCGGGCCATTACTACTCAGAAGAGGAACAAAGAGGAATGAGTCCCCCACTTGAGGTATCAGATGGGGAGGATGAATTTGAAGACCACAACCACTCCTCCTTCAGGAAAGACACTAGTGAGTATTGACAATGCAAATGTTCTACTGATGTCAAATCCTAATGCACTGAAAGTCATATTAAAGCCTATAAAAGACTGATAACTGCCAGACAAAGTTTGCTTGAACAAGTCTCATATTTTCCAACCCAGACAACAAGAAGAAAATCCGCTTGTACCAGTTCCTCCTGGACTTGCTAAGAAACGGCGACATGAGTGATAGTATCTGGTGGGTGGACCAGGACAAGGGCATCTTCCAGTTCTCCACAAAACACAAAGAGGTTCTGGCCAGTCATTGGGGTACTCAGAAAGGAAACCGTAAGAAAATGACCTACCAAAAGATGGCTCGGGCTCTGAGGAACTATGGTAAAACTGGAGAGATTAAAAAGGTGAAGAAGAAGCTAACCTACCAGTTCAGTGAGGCAGTGCTGAGGAACCTCTACTTACGCCAGTATCCTCGCTGAAAGGGAACAATGGCTGTCTTTTATTACGCTGAAATCACTAAACTAGTCAAGATTTGCCTGTTTGCCATTTCACTTTTTTTTCTACCAAGTTTTCTTATCTATTTATTTGTGATGTACATCTTCTACTATATTTGCTTCCATATAAACGGCTTCAATTTCAGACTCAAATTAAGTTTGTGTGTTTGTTTGTGTGTGTGTGTGTGTGTGTGTGTGTGTGTGTGTGTGAGTGTATGTGTGTGTGTGTATGTGTGTGTGTGTGTGTGTGTGTGAGTGTATGTGTGTGTGTGTGTGTGTGTGTGTATGTGTGTGTGTGCGTGTGTGTGTGTGTGTGTGTGTGTGAGTGTATGTGTGTGTGTATGTGTGTGTGTGTGTGTGTGTGTGTACAGAGATTAAAGGATTATAAACATTCAAATGTTTGTACAGACGTACAAATAGATAAAGTAATAAAACTGATTAAAATTCATAAATAAAAATAATAAATACATATAATATAAATGAATACACAAAGTAATAAAAAGAAAAAGGGATAGAATGTATAAAGATGTATGTACATTACCTTTTTGTCATGAATGTGTGTTAACAAATATAATTATTTTAATTACACAAATGAACTGAATCCACTGTAAACTAGAACAAAACATTTTGTACTTCTGGTCATTGTTGAGCCTATTTCTTATTCACTACATCAGTGTAACAGGGCTATAAATTGTTATCTCATTGTTTTTAAGCCTTAAGTTAAAATTGAAGAAAGAGCAACAAATTGGGGATCCCTCTTCCAGGACAGACACATGCAATAATGTCACATGTACAGATAAGACACTAAACAGGTTTAATACGAGAGAATAACGAAAGACAGAGATGCATGTACCAGATAAACAGATTTCAACATACAACCAAAATAACAGAACTAGTAACAACCTAGCAAGTCACGCACAAATGCAATACATGTTTTGCTGAGGAACTTTAAATGCACTCGCAAGCAGATAGCAAATGTGTGTGTGACTCTGCAACTGGGCAGGGCCTTGGCCACAAAATGTGCTGTGTTCAACGTAAGAGGACTACTGATACACATAAAGGCAAAAATCAAGTATATACTATTCACACGAGGGGAGAAGATAAACCATAGCATACATAAAGGTATAACACTTGATGCAAAAATAGATATGACTACAGAGCGAGTCTCCAGGAGAATGAAGATTCAGGTCAAAGTAGACTGAGAAACACAAACAACACAAAATGGCTTTGTTATGGTGTATAACAATAAAAAATATAGAAGGAAAAATAATATAAATAAGTCAAGAATCATAGAAAGTAGAAAAAAATGACAATAAAAAATAGATAATAGATAGCTCTAACAAGTTATTGTCCATCTCTCATTGGTTGTTGATCTTGTTGTTGGTCTGCGGTGGATATAAGGAGTCTACATTCATGTTTTCACAAAACATTTAAAATAAAACATATAAAATAAAATACACATTATAAAAATATAGTGGATGTTTATTCTCAAATGACTAAATTCAGTGTGTAACAATATATAATCTAATATTTTAGACTTAGACTAATTCAATTTAATCACCTCACAAATGAAAGGGACTTTATTAAGTAATAATAAATAAATAAAACATATATAATAAATAAAAAATATTAATTATATTATTAACGTTACTATTTTCTTTAGATTTGCAAACTGGAATTTTCCCAACGGGCGAAAAGACGTTGAAGTCCCACCCACTTCCACCGACGTCACGGACAGCAGCCAATCAGAGCCCAGATGTAGTTTCGGTCCAAATTTCAAACGTCGTCGAGTCGACAAACGGACGGCGGCCCGCAGCCACACCAATGTTAGTCAGTTTAACATCGCTTTTACGTTAAGGAACATTATTATTATTCATACATATTAGCTGTCTGCGGTGGCAACATGAGAGTGAGGTTAGTAACTTAACTTTTTTTATTTACTGGTGCCTGAAACTGTTTACGATAACGAGTGTATGGAGTTAGTTAACTTAACTTCCTGTTGATTTTACATAAAGCTAGCTTTAATTTGAACACACGCACACAGTTTGTACGTTATCACGTTGGGGGACGGAGTAACTAGCCGCCAGTGTATGCTGCAATGAATTATTATGAACGGTAATTATGTTTTCTGTCAACTTGACTGCCACTGGTTGTAATCCTGAGCTGGTATTTAGTGTTGACGTTACAGCTAAATGCTACAATACAGCGTCAGGGAGCTAGCCAACGTTAGCCTGCTCAGTGGATAAAAGGACTGAGGCGTAGCTTCTCTGCTAATCACCCACTGGCGCTAACGTTAACACTTGAGTGGTTTGACTGGTAGCAGGTGTCACTTTAAACTCTGATAAACTGACCCACTCGCTTTTTCTTCCAGTGAAGTCCACGCAGCAGAGTCTGTCGCCTACCTCAACAGAGCACTGTTCAGGTTGCAGGATATTTGGGAAGAAATCGGGATCCCGGAGGAGCAGCGCCTACAGAGGACCAATGATGTTCACAAGCACATTAAAGTGAGTCCAGCAAAGATTTAGATTGAGTTTGGTTGTTGACCTTTTTTATAGGGCGAACAAACTCACATTTCCACCCTTGTCCTGCAGGGTTTGCTGGACCTAATGATTGCAGAAGAGGAGGAGCTCAAGAAGAGATTACTGAGAGACATAGAAAGTCATCTTAAGGAACTTAATCATTTGTGCAGTGAACTTCAGCTGCCCCCCTTTGAGGTACAGTCTGTTTTTAAATGAATATGTGGTTGTTTTCTTAAACCTATCTGTGAAAATTGTTTGGATTAACTGTCTGGGTTTCTATGAAGGAGGAGGATGGCTGCACCATGTTGCAGATGGAGAAGAATAGCCGCACACGCTTAGAAGTAATGAAGGAGCAGAAGAAGAAAAGAATGGAAGAGCTCAAAGGCCTCGTTGGCAAAGACCGTGAGCTGTGTGATATTATGTGCACTACCCCATTTTGCATCGACCAGGACTCCATCCCATCGCTGCCGCAACTGGAGACATATCGTGCCTACCTGGATGATCAGACCAAAGAAAAGGTGTTACTGGTTTTCTACTTTTCTTAATTACTTTTACTTGCTTTGTCTTATTATGATTTGTAACCTGTCTTGTCTTTTCAGGAGCGTCGTCACAATGAATTTGTGAGTGTCAAGAAGGAGATCATCGTGTGCATGGAGGATCTGGAGCGGCACCCAGAGACCAGTTTTGAGATGGATGTGATGTGTGAGGATGAGGAGGCATTTTGTCTGTCAAATGACAACATTGCTGCACTCAAACTGCTACTCAGTCAGGTGATTTGGGATATTTGCATCTGACGCTATGAATAAAATGGTCTACAATATCAATAACAAGCAAATTTCCCCAGTGTGGGATCAATAGGACCCTGGCTCATCTTATTATAACTGATGTATGATTTTTAACGCCTCCTTTCAGTTACAAGACCGTAAGGCAGAGAATGAGCTCCGTTGTTCAGCTTTCCGCACTAAGATCCAGGAGCTGTGGGAAAGACTTCAGATTCCCCAAGAGGAGCGGGAGGCCCTCTCTGAGCATATGGCCCAGTCAAAGAAGAGAAACATTGAAGCAGTAAGAAAGCTACCTCATGTGGTCATTTACTTTAATGTTAAGTGACTTCAGGCTGTACAGCAGTGTGTTGTTTCACCAAGCACCTCTAACACTTCCATAAGGTTTTAATAATGTGAATTCTCTCTTTCCAGCTCCAGACTGAGGTCCAGCGTCTAGAGGTGCTGAAAATGCAGAGTATGAAAAGTGTCATTGAGGCCATCAGAGCGGAGATTGGCCTTTTCTGGGAGAAATGTTTCTACAGCCAAGAACAACAGCTAGCCTTTGTTGCGTACCATGATGGTGAATATCTGTTGTTTAATGACAAAGCCTTTACACTGAATATATGCGGTTGATCATCACAAAGGGGAGTATGGGTCTCAGTGCATGTCTTCTTAACACAGATGATTTCACCGAAGAGCTTCTAAACCTGCACGAGGCTGAGGTCAGGACCCTGAAGAAGTATTACGAGGACCACAGAGAACTCTTTGAGGGAGTCACAAAATGGCAGGAGAACTGGACCTTGTACTTGGAGCTTGACGTAAGTACTATCCTCGTGAATGTAGTGAGGAAGGAAGCATTTAAAGCAAACGTTTCTTGGTGTGGTAACGTGTGTGTGGATGTATGTACTTCTATCTCAGAAAAAGGCTAATGACCCCACAAGGTTCAACAATCGAGGTGGGAACCTTCTGAAAGAAGAGAAGCAAAGAGCTGACCTGCAGAAAAGTTTGCCCAAGGTGAGGAGATGTTTAAAAGTGATGTTTATTGACATGATCTGTCTGTTCAGTAAATACAAGAACAGTGTGGACCAGTGTGCAGGATTTAGTGGCATCTAGTGGTGTAATTGTTGATTGCAAGCCTTGCCACACCCTCTCGTTCCGAGCATGTAGGAGAAACTACGGTGGTCAAGAAATGCCCTATCTAGAGCCAGTGTTTTGTCTGTTCTGGGCTACTGTAGAAACATGGCGGACTTGTGGAAGAGCAGCTGCTCTCTCTGTAAATAGAAATGGGTCATTCTAAGGTCACGAAAACAGACCAATGTTGTAATTAAATCATCCTAATAGATCCCTAAACATTAAACACTAAACCTTTTTATAAGCAGTTTTCTGCATGTAAACGAAGCTGTCGGTAGGGACTCAAGAGAAAAACGTGTCAAATTAAATTAGAAATTAAACAAATGAGCTCTAGTGATCCATATGTGAGGAGAGTGAAGACAGCTGAGAGGTAGTTGATGCATTACCGGTTTTGGCCAACAGATGGGGATATTATAGTATTATCTCAGTCTGCAGTTCTTGTGCAATTAATTGTGGTGCACCAGATTTTTACAAAGGGCATTTTAGAGATTGGACAGTTATGTAACGTAGACTGGCAGTCAACTGTCAATGCTAAATCTGATGACATGGCAACAAGGTCAAATTAGTGTTTCCTTTTTGTTCCAGCTGGAAAAGACTCTGAAGGCCCAAATTGATGTTTGGGAGCAGGAGCATGGCCACGAATTCCTGGTCAATGGACAGAAATTTCTTGAGTACGTGCAGCAGCAGTGGACGCACCACCACACCGAAAAGGAGAAGGAGAAACTGGAACGGGTATGTTATTAATTTGATGACACTAAGTCTCTGATTTTCCTGACACAAGTCTTGTGAATATGACTACATTGTTCTTTTGTTTGCAATAGCAACTAAAGAAAACTAAACAGACGCAGGAAGACATGTTATATGGAACCTCAATGAGAACACCATCCAAAAGGCGGATAGCAGGGACCCCCACACCTGGAAAAGTCAGAAAGGTAAGATGGTGCAGCAGTTTTATTACATTATGTGACCGTATGTGCAGTAACACTGTTTGCACCTGCGAGAGTGAGTAGAGTCAAAAGTTGACCCATCCTTTTTCATCTGTCCACTTAGCTCAATGGCACCTCGACTTTCTCCACTCCAACCAGCTTCCTTAGCTCAGGGCTCGGAGGAACCATGTGCCAGTCCTCCATCCAGAAAACACCACTGACTGCCAGCAAGGTACCGTCTTCTCCTGACTCCTCTCACTGACAAAACTCAAACTATTCTGTTTATGTCCTGTCAGACATTGAGGGCTACATTGGTTAGCTCTTTTTCTGACTCTTAAACTTCGATTTGTGTCCAGTGTGCAAGATTTAGTGGCACATTCATTCTCAGGTAAACAAAAAACATTGATTCCTATATTCTGGTAATTGTACACTAATGAAAACGTACCTATAGATTCTCCTAAATGTTACACACTGGACAGGAAGCAATGGAGAAGTCTACAAAAAGCTGCTCTTGTGATGCTTGGATGTGGCAGCTTTACAGGAGTGTACTGAGAATGGATGATGCTATAGAGTTTATTTTCATTATAATGTTCACGTGTATGTGTGGCTTCTTTCTTTCTTTCTTTCTTTCTTTCTTTCTTTCTTTAGTAGTCTGAAATTAAGTAAAATTAATGAGGAGGCCAAAAAAATAATTCTAGTTGGTCTTGTTTTAGGGTCTTGGCCTGCGAACCGTTGGACATGGAAAGACTCCCCGTGCACTAGACCGAAACAAGGAAAACATCTCCCACCTTAATAGAAATACTCCAAGTGGCACACTAAGGTCTCAGGATACTCAAGATCACACCATCACCTTTAACTCTTTGGCTGGCTCCTATTCGGAATTTGCGGTAAATGCGGTTTTACATCTGTTTAGTATCTAACCACAAAAAGTCCACTAAATTATAATCTATTTAAATCCCTTTTGACAATGTCTTCTTACTACAAACACCATATAGTTTTGTATTTTGCAGACAAAATTCCCTGATTATGTACTTTTAATGCAGTTTATTTAATTGAAAGTGTTTTGAAACAAGGCAGAAGATCACTCGTCTGTAAAATGACAAACGATTGCTTGATTTTTTTAAAAAAAGCTTTGAGACGTTTTGGTTGGCTGTACGGTGGCAATTTAGGTGTTAATTCGAGCAATTTAACAGCAGTCATGCATATATCTGCCAATTAACTACTGAATTAATTTTGATAATTAAAAATTATTTTAATTAGAAACTGATAATCTGCATCACAAATTCAAATAGTGGTAGACAATACGCACGCACACACAATGAATACACATCCCAGATTATTTTTATTTAGATTAGAGCCGTAGGAAATAGTGAGGAAGTTCTAGCACTTTACTCTTACACTGTAAGTCCAGTGTAAACAATCTAGACATTACAAATCTTTTTTCCAAAATTTAATAAACAATATAATTTTATTCTACTATGTTACATACTAACACTGTGTGAATGCACACACACTGACTGGATTATTCAATCAATTGACACCTTGAATATGAACAAAGATACTGACTGTTAATTCTGACTCTTCTTTACAGAGAGACCTCTCAAAGGCTTCTAAATCGACGGTGAAGTCAGGAGTGCTGAACTCCACTGTCAGTCATCAGTGATGAGACGAAGCAGCTGCTCCGTTGCCGGACGTCTTCCAGCTCAGCGGTAGTTTGGTGTAGTTTTCACGTAGTGGACAAGAGGGAACTTTATTCTAAACTTCTTTTTAAAAAAGTGTAAATATTTTAATCTGTCTCTCTCCAACAATCCTGTTTTCCTAAGACTTCATTTCAGGGTTACTGCTGGAGCAGTTTTCTCTGCTGTATGTATTTTGTGGCAAGTTAATGATGTTTGAACCAAGGCTGTCGTGGCTTTTTATTTGACGTTTTTCTTGTTGGGTTATAGTTTTTTTGTTTTTAAGTGAAATGTTATTTACACATGTAGAGCACTACATTGTTTTAGTACTGCAGCAGGTATAGAGTCTCCAGCTGGAATGACAGCTACATTTGCTTTTTATAAATCAACCTGTAAATAAACATTTTAAAAAAACGTTCATCCTAACTAAGAGTACCTATTTATTATTTAATTCCACCTGTATGTTTTCTTTATAGCCCCTACAGTTGGGATGCATGTTAACTGAGTCAGAAGGCAGTATCTGTTAAGTATTACATTTCACATAACCATTTCTCCATGTAGACTAGAAATGGGGGGGAAACTGTTTAAGCCATGCGTGTCATGAGTTCTTCAAGAGCCCTCTCACGGTGATTTTCATGGACAAGCAGAACTTCTTTGATTGCACTTTGCTGGAAGCCCATCTCATTAAACTGAGTCAGAAGGCGTAGGAACTCAGCAGCCTGAAAGAGAATTTAAATGAATCATAAGAAACATTAAATTATGATGAGGTATGGCTGTGCTGTTGCTTTTATAACATTTTTTTGGGATAAGCAGCAATCACCTTGCTCTCACAGTTCTGAAACATCTCCAATGCCTCCTCCACCTGTGCTTCATCATAACCCAGCTTACACAGACGGTCAGTGGCCATCAGGTATTTGAGGATCTGTTGATGGATAAATAATTCTGTGAATGATCTGCTGTCTTGCTAAAGCACAAATAACATGAGTTAGATTACTAGTTAAATGCCTTCATATCACGTAAGTATATATTTATAGGCCCAGAGTGTTACATTTAGCAGGATCTTAACAGAAATGGAATATAGTATTCCTACATCTCTGTTTATAAACCACTTAAGATGCACTAACTTCTAAACCCAAAGTGGCACCTACCTTCTCTGGGCTGTGGTAGCCTGTCTTCTGCAGAGCCAGAATAGCAGTGCGTAAAGGGTATCCCCTCTCTGTGATGGTTTCAAGTAGCTCCCTCTCTTCCTGGCTAAGTGCTGTCAGCAACTCTGCTGCTGAATCAAAGAAAACCCCACGAGGGCCACCTGTCCTCAGGGCCTGATGACAAGGAACAAACAGATGAAAAGAGTGGGTAGTTAAAAAGAAAAAATAATGGTTTAATACATTTTGACAAAATAAGAAACCTTCTGTCGGCCGTTTTTGACAACAGGTCCTGCAGAGGAGGGTCGTTGCTGCTGCAGCCTGCATGGGGAGGGAGCAGCAGGTGGTGTATTCTGGGAGAACTTTCTTCCCCCGGGGCCCAGTGTACGCTGCCTCTTCTTGCCGTTCTTCTGCCCCAAGAGGAGGGGGCTGGCCTGCTGGGGCCGGTGCTGCTCCAGTACTCGCAGAGGGTGTCTGCAGTCTTGGAGAGAAGATAAGGACCATCTGTGGCCTCTGAGGCTCTGAGGTGAGTCAGGTTTACAGTGCTGAGTCGAAGGACCGTGGTGCATGTCTTTGACTCTGGAGACTGGGTCTTTGACTCTGGAGACTGGGTCTTTGACTCTGGGGCCTGGGTCTTTGACTCTGGGGCCTGGGTCTTTGGGTGCGGCGCTCCAGGGCCGCTCTCTGCTCTTGGTGCGGTGAGGTGCATCTTCAGTAGAGGATTCGTTGTCCTCATTGTAACCGTCTTCATCCTCAGAGTCAGATACGAGGAACTTGACAGTGCGATGGTGCAGGCAGCGAATGTCTGCAGAGTTCAGGCTGTGACTGCGGGGCCGCGGGCTCGAGGCCCATGGGTCGCTGTTCCTGCGACCGGCCCTGCGACTCTCTTGAGGGCTGCTGAACAGCAGCCAGTAGGGGGGGCAGGAGGGGGCCTGACGAACTGGCTGCTGCCGAGATAAAATCCATTTCTCCAGGTTAAATCCATACTGCAGGAAAAACACACCAAGAAAGATTTTCAACAACAGACCAACACAAGCACAAGTGTTACTAATAACATTAACAATAGTTCCCTTAAAGTGTCCCAATAAGCCACGACAATACAGTCACACACCAGCATAAAGTCTTATATCAAAAACACCTATGTGGGTTATATCAATATATGCAAGAGTTTATCACAAAAGAACCAGAACTGAGACACGTAGATTCATACTACCGGTTCAGATGCAGAACCAAAATAGTTTCTTACATTCCACTAACAATGCCATATTTATTATTTATTTATCTATTTCTATAATTATTATTTCATCTTTTTGGAGCTGTGACAAATCTGATGTAGTTGTGTATAATAGTTCCAACAGTCATTGTGTTGAGCTGAGTGTTGTTTTGATGTATATTTAAATGAAATTGAGCCTAAAGTGCTGCTTTTCCTAACAACTAAACCTGTGAAGTCTAAAAGCCCCTGAGTAAACAGGTTAATGATCCCAGAAATACATTCAACTTAGAGAAAATGTGAATGTTCACATGGATGCGTGACCTCAGTGTCTCGTAGTATTTGACGACAGTCTGGCTCAGCGATGTTTGGAGCTGCCACGAGCTCCACTTCCTCTTCCAGTGGACCCAGTAGGGTCTGAAATGGTACATCCTCCAGAGGGTTCATTTTCACCAAAAAATGCACCAACAAATAACCTGCATCACAAAAATCACAGTTTTTCAGTTTTAAGTTACAGAAGCAAACACTGACTGCAACTGTATGAACCCTTACCTTGGTCAGGGGTTTTCTCTGAGGTCCACAGCTCTCTGAAGCATTGACGGGTGTATGGAGTGAATGACTAACACGGAGACATCGTACGTGATAAAGCTCTTCATCACTAAGCCTCTGACATCATCTGAGGAGTTGTTTACCAATAATACCCCAGACACCTGTTGTAATCTCCCCTGCAGAAGAATAGTATAAATAATGGGGTTTTGAATATATATGTAAATAAGTTATACTATAATTAAATTATTTAAAAATAACATTAATAATTAATAATGATTTTGTTTTACTAGTACATTAACAATATAAGATATTTTAACACTTTTCTTGTTGACTGAGGCTTTTTCTCATATATCCAATGCCACATTTCAGACCATGTGACTTTCAATGTGGACTTGAAGGGGGATCAGGGACATGCTGAGGTATTTGGAAACAAAGAACGGTGTGATACTTTCCAGAGATTAGCAGATTACATAAAGGTGACAGTGTATCTGTGTGGAACAACACTGATGTCTATTGGATTCATTCCCGCCACTGATTTGTTGTGTCAACAATGTCTGAGAAGCAACTTAATAAACTCAAATAAATAAGTGTCCTACTCGGCAAAAAGTAGCAAGGAACAATTTAAGTTCTGTACAGAGATATACATTTTATTTATATATTTTAAACAATCACAATAAATTTAAGAATCACAAACTTGGGGGTTTACAGGTTCTGTAACAGGCCTCTGGAAACAGAGAAAAGCAGTTTTTAAACTTCACTAAAAGAAAAGGAAACTTAAAGCAAAAAGGAGAACAGATCTAGTTTAATCTCATTTTATAGCACAAACAGCATTGTAAGGAGTACAGCAGCGTGGTTCAGTTAAGTCAGAGCATTTTCGGTGAAGGCTTGACTACTAACGTGTGTATTGAGGTACCATTTAGTAACAGGATATAACATCACTAAAGGTGAGGCGGGATTCCAACGCTGAGATACGCACAAAGAAAATAAAAATAGCTGTGCTGTTCTGAGGGATGTCTGACAAAGCAAGTTTAGAGCTGCATCCAGAGAGCTGTGACAGAGATGCTCTGTCCGATTATGATTTGAATCTGGACTATGAAGCTTCAATGTCTGGTTTATGAATATGATTCAGTCATGTATATTTGAGAAGAGTTACTCCAAACAAAACACTTCCTGGCTAACAAACTATTCCTGCTTTGTGAGAGAGCCCCCGGATCCAGTCCAGTGACACAGAGGTCTGTAGGTAAACACATATACATTACCTAAAGAGTGGGGCTAGAAGAGGAAGCAAAACACTGAAGATAACCATTCTGGCTGTTTAAAAAGGTCATCATTATTTTTCACCTGCTATGTTTAGTGTGCTGGTGCGTTACACGTCACAATGTGTTGTCCTAATTAGAGGTCATGTCATACAAACCGCTTACAAATGCTACTGAAGCAGTGTAGCTCAACATTTACAGCCCTGTTTTTACTGTGGACACCATTAAATAATGGTGGTAAAGACGAAAACATCAAAGTATTGATGTGCTCATGGAATATTATGCCTCTATGGTATAAGACATTACTTGCCAAGGTAACATGTCGTCTACACTTTCTCAGCGCACCACATTTTTCAAGTGTACAGTATGTCCCATAACTTCCATTTGCTTCCCTTGCCATGACAGCCCATCACCACAAAGAGAGAAAACAAATTAACTAGCTACAAATCCGTTCATGAATAAAATTGCATTATCTTTATATAGATAAAATGTTAACAATCCCCAGAGATTGAAATATTTCATTAAAGGTCCACTCTGAGAGTGCACCACTAGAGAATTAACATCTGATGCACAGGACCAAAGGTTGTTACACTCTCTTTACTTGTTCATTATGAAAACACTCATCAGTGAGAGCCACCTGGCTTCATTACCTCTAATACAAATGTCCTCCGCTTGTTTGTTGGGGGGGCTATCATAAAACCCAGAGTTGGTATCCAAAGGTTCATAGTAATCTAATGATTTCAGAGACCGTCTTTAGATGAAATAAGTGACATGTTCAGTTGTTAGCGGCGTCTGCCTGCCGAGGCCAGTTCTCCTCTTCAATGCCCGAGTCATATTCCTCCTCCGCAGACTCCTTGGCTGGAGCTCTGAAATTCAAATGGGAACTCCAGTTCAGGTTTCAAACCAACACAACATTGGAGAGTGCTGGGTTTAAGGAATCTGATCTCTAACATGACACAAGTGTGGTCTCGTAACGTTGGCGGCGAGATACTGACCTGACATATCTTGGTTGTGATTTTCCTTGGACAACATCTTTGTCCAGCTCAACAGCCATGATATCAGAGTGTGGTACTTCAAACATTGGCTCTAGAAGGAGCTTTTCCTATTAGAAAATAAGAGGATGTGTAATTACTGTAATATATCATGTAAGAAGTTTAATACCTTCAGTAAAATCACATACCATGATAGATCTGAGCCCTCGAGCTCCAGTTTTTCTCTCCAGAGCCATCCTGGCTATGGCCCTCAAGGCATCTTTATTCACATGAAGTTCACACTGAAACAAAAAACGGATTCATTTCAATTCTGAACATCTGTATTTTTCTGAATTTTCCTCACAACAAAGTTATGTGTTGTTTCAGGTACCAGTGAGACAATAAACTACAATCCAGGAAAGACAGTTTGTAGTTTGTCTGGTAGTTCCATTCTGAAGGCTTAACAGATTCCAAAACAGAGGCAAATATTTTATCTTTTGTCATACCAATCACAAGGTAAACATTACAAATAAAGAGTTCACATTACAAAGTAATCTACCAGGACTGTGAACCTGCAGGTGACTAGATGACTGCATTGCATCATGACATAAACTGAGACACGATGGATTTTTTTTGCCCCTCATTGTGCAAACACAGTAGCCCCATTCAAATGAGTCAGGGGTTGTGATCTTTTTTTCTGAACACACCGGTCTGAAAACTGCTGAACACAAGTACTGTACTCGCTATGTCAGAGCCCTTACTTTGTCCATGCTGAACAGAGCCTGGTACTGGGGCACCACAGCGTTGCGTGGTTCAGTCAAGATTCTGACTAGCGTTTCTTCATCCAGGCTGTGCAGAGGAACGACCACAGGCAGACGGCCAACAAACTCCGGGATCATTCCAAACTCAATCAGGTCCCTGGCCTCGACATGCTTCAGCAGCCTGTCCTTCTCTTCTATCTCTGCCACTGTGTCCGTCTCACCGCTGGTGTTGGCCAAGTCTGCAGCAGCCGCTGCACGGCGCCCTTTCCCCATGTTGGAGGGAGTTCCAAAACCCAAATACTGAAGTCATGAAACATGAACATTGGGTTAGAAGCAGGAATAATGACATACAGGAATCTTGGCTGACAGTCGGGGTATATAGCTATGTTCAAGTTACCTTTTCATTCTTTCTTCTGCTAATGATTCTATCAAGTCCGTTGAAGGCACCAGATGCAACAAACAGGATGTTTGTTGTGTCTACCTGCACCGTTTCTCCCCTCAGTTTCCTGGAGTTTTTCTCTGGAACATTGACGATTGTGCCCTCCAAGAGTTTAAGCAACCCCTGCCAGAGAGGAAAAGGAAAAAACAACAATAATATAAGTCTAGGTCGACAAATATAGGGCAAGTAAAAATAACAAAACAAGGAAGCAATAAGTAAATAGGTTATGTCTTCTGCTGGTTTTTAAAAAATTCCAAACAATCTAACGCATATATAAATAATATAATGCTGGCAGTTTCATTATGAGATGAATGTCCACTAACACATTGCAATCATTGCATTTTACTTTGGGTAACTAAACTAAACTTTAGTGTCTAAATTTAGTGTTGAATACTGACCTGCTGGACTCCCTCTCCTCCTACATCTCTCAGCTGATGGATTCCAGGCACACTGCCAATCTTATCAACCTCGTCCAGAAACACAATACCTGCACAAGAAATAAAGGACGGGTGCCAAGACAGTCCAAGTTTCACTCTTCAGAATTATTCTTAATAGTTCCTGTGTGTGTTCATACATGGATACAATGTTAAGATTTCAGCTTACACTATACTACATACTCTACACCATTCATAGATAGAGGTAAGTCAACCTTTAAACTAAGGTTTACTTTTGTTAATCTTGTTAAGTTTGATCCCATGGTTTTTTTTTCACGTCTTCCTGCTTCCTTCCTCTTCTCGCCTGAATGTCTCCCCCAATCAAGTCAATAACACATTCTTTACCCATGTAAGGAAACTGGAAATGTGATATACATGTGCAAATGTAAACAGGTTATAGCTGAGTAACACAGTAATTGATGTAAAAGTAATCGTTTAATCTTCATAGTCTCACTGAGTGGTTTTCCAAATTTCTTCAGTACTATTGTTGCGGCACTGTTTTATACAGTTTATATAAAGTCTGTAAATTATTCTTGTAACTGTGTTTAACGACAGTGAGAGCAACTTAAAACCAGAGTCAAATTTCTTGTCCAATAAAGCGGATTGTGATTCATCAACAACTTTTTTGTTGTTTATAAAGTAAGCCATTTGAGAGCACACTGTGGTGAATACTATAGGTTATATTAAAAAGGTCCAGTGTGTCGGATTTAATGACATCTGGCGGTATGGTCGCACACAGCAACTCCATCGCTTCACGCTCTCTTTCCAAGTGCAAAGGAGAAACTATAGTGGCCGTGAAACAAGCATGTGTCATCTAGTGCCAGTTTGGTTTGTCCCTTGTCCCATTGTAGAAACATGGCAGACTCCAGGGACGGGAATCCAATGTCTGGAGATAAAACGGCTCAAAATGCATGTTTTGTGTAACATACTGTTGTTGTGGTAAACCAAAAACATATGCTATGATTTTTACAAGGGAAACATCACTGCTGTTACATTTAGTCCCTCTGCCCACCTTGCTGTGCTTTATCCACCGAGTAGTTGGCATCTTGCAGCAGTTTGGCAATAACTGACTCGATGTCTTCGCCCACGTATCCAGCTTGAGTTAGTGTGGTGCAATCACAAATTGCAAAGGGAACATCCAGACAACGTGCCAAAGTCTGCGCCAACAATGTTTTTCCTGCAAAAAATGAGACGATAAAATGTATTCAAGATCAACAACTACATATATGACACTGTAACTGTTGGTGGTCTGAGGGTCACTGTGCAATATTACAATTCAGGACAATGTTGACACAAGACTCACCTGAACCAGTTGGACCTAGAAGTATGATGTTGCTCTTCTCCAGTTTAATTTCAGTGTGTGTGGAGTCCAGGACCTCCCCGCCCCTCCTCTCCTGAGGTGCCTGCTGACTCGCCTGTTG